CCGCCCAAACAGCAAAAACAAACACCGAAAAGCCCAAACAACAAAAACGACCAGACAACAAAAAATAAACACTCTTACCGGGGCCTTCCACAGATAAGGACCCTCCTATGCTCCCAATTATTATATAGCATGTATTGTAAGGGAGCCCAAAAATGAGACCCCTAATTATTGTTGCAGGTCGGGGCAGCATGCAGCATCAACAGCAGAACTTCCTGGTGAGTGCTCATTGCTTCTTAGGGTGTTTACGTGTGGCGGGGGGAGGGGGGGATGAATATTGGAGGATTACTGAGCAACCCCAAGCCCAAACTTTTTCTCCTATGAAATGTAGGATCCTGAAGACAATTCAAGATCGATCCCCCATAAGCCTTATGTAACTAAAGTAATATATACCTTGAAACAAAATTTGATTATTTCGGCCCTCCTTAGTATTCAATCCCGATGAAATTCTGTATAAGCCAGCTTTCATTGCCCCTTTTCCATTTGTGCTTCCACTCTTCTACGCATTTACGCCCCTACAGTAGACGCTGACAGGTTTCTCCGAGGGTTTAGTTTGGCTCCGCCTGGCCCACATCTTCATAGGCACCGGGCGCACAACAAGACGTTCTTAACGGGTTTAGGGATGTTCAGGGTTTAGGGTCATTCATAATTGGACGTTAGAGACTCCAACCCCGAATTGGGGCCCTGTAGCTATCACGCATTTTTAACTTGTAAAAGAAAAGGGGGGGCTGGAGTGAGCAAATGATGCGTCCGTGTGCGCAGGTTATGCAAGCTTTATTGTTCGCTGCAGGGTTTTGGCAGATCAGGGCCCATGCTAGGACTAGTTACTGGTGGTGCCTTGCTTCCTCCTACATCCAGCACAGAGGTATAAATGTCTCCGACGTTTGCAGATGTGCCAGTGCGCTTATGTTCAACGTGAGAAAGCCCTTGCTAAACTAGCACTCTCCTCATGTATACCAGCCCCAACTCAAAAACTCTCAAACGCTGAGGCGCAATTACTATTACTATTACTATTACTACTATTACTAGTACTACTACTGTTACTATTACTATTACTCCTATGGTCAACTGGTGGGACTCCTGTGTGCAGGGCTTCGGCTTTGAGTTCGTAAATCTCTGGGGACCTTGTGTGAGAACAAACGTTGGACAGGTTTTTCATTCGGGCGGACAAACCAAATCAAAAAGCTTCTTTAACAAGAATAGAGGTTGGCTGTAGGAGAAATTTCGGATGTGCACTCATCGTCTGCTTGCAGCCCAAATTCTGGAGTTGCTTATTCCAGGATTGGAACAGTGGAACGCAGCCAGAGCTGTTTTGTGAAGGGGGTTGGTGAAGGGTTCCGTTGCGCGCACCACAGGTGTAACGTGGTGCGAAGGCGTTCATCCTGACACTATTAAGCCAGATAGTGGGGGGGTAGATATTTAAGGATTATAAGCTTCGGGAACTTGACACAGACATGCCCAGGAAGCGCGAACTTCCTATGGGACTTGTAAGCCTGGAGCCCTGACACCATCAAGCCTGAGAGGGCGGTTTGGGGTTGATGGCCTGTGGCATTGTCAAGTGATGGGATCTGTCGGGCAGACCCTTGACAGATGTGATCATTGCAATAGTCGTTTTCTCTCGCTGTCAGACGCTTGCCAACAAGATTAATTAGGACACTAAGCCCAAACCCTAAACGGTTTTCGATAGCAAGTCCAGGAACTTTAGCGTTGAGGACTTATGGGAGTAGGGGAATCCAAAAATCAGGGGAGCCGGGGTGATGTTGTGCAGCCAGGCTACGCATGCTTGGGTGGATTGGCTGCCCAAGTCTTCATTGGCATCCTCAAGTATAGCTCCTTGCCGCAGTTCCCTACAGTTTTTTGGGTTGCCTCTTTGGGACCCATGACGGGTGACATATAAGCATAGCGACAGAAATCTTAGCGACTAACGTGTTTTGTCAGCGGTCGACAATAGTAACATGGTGTCCTATTCAGGGTACAAGACTTAAACCGTATACTTGGTAGTGGGTGCTTGTTCAGCTCTGGTTGCGAAAGCGCCTGCGCCCATAGGCGCTTGAGTTCTAGGCGTCCTACACTGCATCGAAAAGTGCATCTAAAGCGTATCGACACGCATCGCCTAATGCCACCATGCCCAGAATTGTATCAAGAGTCGTCTCGCTAAGTTTTATCCATTTGCCTCTAATGCAGAATAATGCAGACCTGATACGGATACGCTTTTGATACGATTTGCCCTCCCCGGACCCCCCCCCCGGGCTGGAGTCCCCCACCCAGACAAGGGTTCTGGAGGGGCGGGCGGGGACGGCGTTGATTGTGGCGACTGCGCGATGTGGATTTTGATACTTTCTGATACGCTTGTGGGGTCGCTCCAATTTGCTGATAAACTTTCGATGCGTTTTTGGGGTGGTCCACCTTTTTGATACACTTTCGATACGCCTTCGGGGTGGCTCAATCTGGGTCCAGGGATGAGGTTTGTGAGCATGGCAGTCAGTAAAAGCAGCACCACTACATTGTTGCTACATGGTATCCGTGATAGATGCATTGCAACCGCATCAGAAAGTGTATCAAAAGGTATCACACATTGATATCTGTAGTTGAATTCCCCTATTGAAGTGTATCACTACAGTGTATCACATTGTGTTTTGAAATTGTATCCAAAAATATGTTTGGATTTGGGGGTGGTTCAGGCTGGATGAGAACATCGTGAATTTATCAGGCTTCTTTAGCCAATGGCTTCTGCCGACCATGAGGGAGAACTGTGAACTGTTAGGATCCCTAAGTTCTACAGTTATTCCGCTAGTATCCGCTATTAGCCCCTGTGTGGTTCGGATCATCTAAGTCATCTGCATAGCGGCATAGCCTAGGCACCCCAGTAGTACCACTTGTCCTTCTTATTTTGGGGCCTCCACATTAAAACTGATTATTAGGAAAAGGGGTACCCTCATTACGAAGGGGTCGCTGTGGAGCCTAGTCCCTTTTTAGTCATATGGTCCCCCTTAAGTAGACAATATATAGGATTTTTGGGGATCTTATTCTAATACAACCAAAGCCATATTCTATCTACTTAAGGGGGACTATAAACACATAGAGGTAGATTCCTGTAGAGCCCCAAACCCAGCAACAGAATGTGGCAGACGTGGTCTTGTTGCTGTACAAACCGTTCAAGCCATCACTTCAGAGCTTACGTAGCACAACCTGCGCGGTTTAGGGTTTAGGGTTTAGGGATTAGGGTTTAGGGTTTAGGGGTTAGGGTTTATCCCTGTAGAACCCCTATATGAGTGATAATCTAAACTGGTTAAGGGGGGTTACATCAGGAATTATATAGGGTTCCTATTATGGGGCTTATTAAGGGGGATACCAGGAGTTTAGACTATGGCTCATATAATCCCTATATTATCCCTATATGCCCTCCATATAATCGCTATATATGGCAAGAACCCACGTTGGGCGTGGAACCCAGATATGTTCGGACCTGTTTGACGCTGCTCCGCCTTTGAAACTACTCTCCTGTAGAAGTCCGTAAGCTTGGTCATTGTCGAAAATACGCTTTCATTTCGCTACATTCAAGCTCATGCCCAACGTGAAGTCAGGATTCTAAGTAGGATCCCACAGTCGAACCAGTAAAGCAGCTCAGGAATTCTTGTGGACGACAATGACGATAATGACGGTGAGTGGTCAATCCACGAAGCAGTTGGCAATTTGGCTCTTCGGCCATTCTTTAGAAGGTCATTCTGTAGCCCTAATTACCTACAGGTTTATGGGTTCGACCGTTCTACCTGCAGAACAGGGGGTGATTGTTAATATGTGCGTACTTGTGGTTACGACTATGGCGCTTCGCCGCGCCATGTGATGGCTGAAATGGCTGATACATGCCCGGCTCGAAAGCACCAGGGCCTCAACCCCATGTCGTGCTGCGTGTTCTACTGTTATCAACAATTACAATTATTAGTTACCTTTACCGTTCTTGGTATTCTTACTATAACCGTTTCTCTTACTCAACTCTTAACCTTAAAGTTTTAAAGAGACCTAGCTTCCTTCAGGCGTTGAAGCGTCTCAGAAACACCAGAGAAGGATCCATCAACCAACATGCAATTCCTGTCAACATATGAGACAAGTGGGTAAGACGGCAGTCCATGCTTATCCGTTATGTCCATGGGAGTTCAGTAGGAAAAGTCCCCAAGGCCTCATTGTACCTCACAGTCCTGTGTTACCTCATCGTTGACTTCAATCTCCAGGTGTTCAATCTCGCGGTTGTGAGGGAGTTGGGGGCATCTATCTCAATAATTGGCAAATCTAGCCTCTGCAACGGTGGACAATCCTTAAGCAGCACTTGAGGCCGGCCATCTGTGATTTGGGGCCCTTGCCCTAGGCTTGAAGGCATGCTCAATAACTATACGTTTGGAAATTGGCAGGTTTACAGCTTGGCGACTCTGAACCTCCTGATCGGCATCTGGCTTTGGAAGGATGCAGCTTTTGTTATCATCTCCCCCCTGACCACCACCAAAAGAAATCATATTGGGGTATATAGGGGAGTGGAAAGGAAAAAAGAAAGCGCTGTGTTTTGTGACGTTTATGGACGAGCTAGTAGCTACCATTGCGAGCGTGCGGGGTGACGTGAGTGGATTATCGGTGCTTCTGAAAGATGTCGCATCCTCTAGTACCGATCTAAAGTCCTTAAAGGGATCATGCAGGGGTTATATTATATTAATGGTTAGATCGGGGATAATGGAAAAGAGAATGGAAAATATTATATTATAGGGATCTATAGGCTTATCACAAGGGTGCACGGGTTGTGAGAAATCTGGGTTGGGGATCCTTAACTTTCAGCCCGTGCTGCGTGCCACAAACCCTGAACCCTCAACCCTAAATCGTAGTTTCCATTTTCTTTTCCATTATACCTATATAACCCTATACTACCCGGCATTTTGGGCTAAAAAGCGGTTCCTAAGTTGGCGCATCCTCATGATAAGCTTTAGGGTTTAGGGCTTAGGTATCCCGATCTCTCTCAAGCCATCAGCCTCCTTCTCAGTTACAAAGTTACCTCCTCACGAGAACCAAGCCCAAGATGTTGAGGTACGTCCAGTACTACCTTGACTAGTCCACGCTGAGCTTGCCGATCATGCTCAATCCACAACTTCGTAAACATGGACTTCTCATGTAATAGCCCATTCTGAAGAAATCACTAACAGGGCAGGGATCCCTCAACCCAAAAGCTATGACTCTTTGCTGTAGGTGATCGCCCCAACCACCAATGGTGGATAGCAAGGCTGTAGGACCCTAAAACAGTTACCATTATCCCTGCGGCGACTGCGAGTCGTTGGGTGCAGTCCAGGAGTTCTCACTACCCGTGCGCGCCGTCATAACGCTCACGCTGCTCCATGTTCGCAAATGGGGTAGACAGGGAGTGAGGAGATCAGGCAGGGGATCTGTCTTTGGGATGTTCATGTTTTCGTGTTTGGTCATGTTGGGATTTCTGTTGTTTTTTGTAAGCCAAGGGCCCCATGTTCCTTTTCAACAGGTCCAACGCGCTGGGATGTAGGGGGGCCGAATTTCACCCTCTTCAAGGCTCTGTCGTCTTTACGCTTTTGGCCTGTTTGCAGTGACACCCATTCCTCGCTACTTTAAAGACCCCCGGCGGTTGATTCCTGTACTCCATTCTGTTTACGAGCCTACATAATCCCCATAGGAAGCTGGTAATTAAAAGTTTCTCTATCCGATCCCCTTCGTAACCCGAGGTTCATCTGAGACCCTATGCCCAAGGATAACCAGCGCTGCTTTCGGGCCGCGATGGGACGGCACCAGAGGCATACCGGGCTCATGTTAGGGGTATTCCAGGCATAGCGGTACCCCTTCTGAACCCCAGATACTACAATCCTTCTTGTGCGAGCTGGCGGGGGGCTTGCTTATGTCAAGTTGGGAGCGTGAAAGTCTTCAATGCTTCTCGGACTATAGCCACACCCGTGAGGCGTGAGGTGCTTTGGGGATTGGCTCTGGGGTCCTGACCTATGTCTGGTGCAATGTTGGAGCAGGCTTCTGGAGTTTTGATATGTCTGATATGTAACGTTAAGGGTTGTAGGCTTTTCTGGGGATTTGGGCGGATGTGTTCCAGTTGGGGTTTGCTTTTGAGAGATGAGATGTTGGAGCGTTTGGAGCGCGATGCCCTTGAAGATTGTCCGTGTAAGGGCTTTGAGGCTTGTAGTATTACAAGGTTTGGTGTATCAACAAGGGACTGGTAAGGTTGATGGTGTAACGGGCTTTTTGGGGAGTTGCAGGGTTTGATACCGACTCACAGTATCCGTCACGAGGGTCATGGAGCCTCACAACGTGCAACGCTGCTCGTAGTGCAGCATCAAGCTGTAGGGAATGAAGCTGATGCTGCTGCAGGCTTCCTCAGCTCCGACGCAGAGAAGCCCAAGAAGAAGAAAAAGAAGGTCAAAAAGCCGGCGGAAGGCATGCAGCGGGCCAGGGTTCTGCTTCAGGCTTCCCACCTTGAGAGGTCCAATACCTTCCGATTTTGTGTGCCCATTTGATCGCACCGTGTGTCGGTCCCGGGTCGGATAACGTTTCAAGTTTCAATGTAGCGTAGAGGCATGGGGAATTGCCAAGGTTCTTCCCTCATAACCCTTGTGTTTCTATAGTACAGAAGTAACCTGCTCCCAAATGTTATTCCGGTCGGATAGGCCCTTGGATTCCGTCTCAGCCAAGGGTTTTCTCTGGGGCTTGAATGAATGCGGGTGTGTTTGTCAAGCCGGCCTCCATCATATGACTCTCAAAGGGTCCTCATTCTAGGGGTTGGGATTACCAGAATCCTCCTCTCATGGATTGCAAACGTCCTGAATCTCGCCTGTGCTGGGAGTGTCTGGGGGGTCTCAGCAGGCGGGAGTTCTGCTGGCAATAGCTGGGTTGTTAATTGTATGAGTATACACTGTTTGCCAAAACATACTAAGTTTCCTGACTCTCAGTACCTGCTATTGAAAGGAGATCACCGTGCTGGTGTGAACCTGAATACTGAAAGCCAAGCCGCCAGACTCCTGGCTTAGCCCCCCACCCTGTCGTAGCCACAGATTTGAAAATTTAGATGTGTCGCTGAAGTTTCTGCTTGGGATCGATCATGGGCAGTCAAGACGTTTCTGCCGTGAAAGACCATGCCCGCTGTCAAGCAAGGACGCAGTTCAACGTAGTCCGCCTGCATGCAGAAATAGCAGGCCTCCGAACGACTGAGCGATGATCATCTCATACCATACGTAGTCCATAAGCCAATGTCCAGATGACAACTCAAATCTAAAATTGACCGAGACAGCGGGCATAATTCTTGTTGGGACAAGGCTGAAATGGAGATGTGATTGCCACACTCCAATCAGCCAATGGCCTCTTATGCATGTACTGTTTGGTCCCCCATTGAGGGTACATGATTTGCTTTGTCTAAACTCATGTCCCCAATCTGCTCCCATGAAAGCGCGCTAAGGTTATCCTCATGTGGAGGAAGAGCATTTATGATGCACCCAGAGTACTGTAGGCAGGAAAACGCTCAACACATGGCCAAGTCATGACCTGGATCGCCCTATAGTTACTATTGTAAATAAGATTCATGTTTCGCACTATACTTTGGATCCCTGTAAAGCTGTATATAGGCCCATTCTTTATTATGTTCCATGTAATTCTCCAGTCTGCATATACAATATCCCATGCTTTCTAGCCACAGTGGATGAAGCAAAGTTTGCACCACTTAGGACCCACAAGCTGATGTAATTATTGTTATTGGGGGTTAATAGGGTGGTGCAAGATTTCCTCCAGCAACCGTAGTGAGAACTGTGCGGCGAGGTGAGACCACGCTGCGGACCCTAGTCGGACGTGCCTAGAGTCTGAGTGCTTGGATCGGGTCTATGTAGGGCCTCTTTTCACTTACTTGTCCTCTTATAGTTGGTACTCAGACTTTTACTTTTACCTCGTACGCTGCTTAGGGTGGAGGAGTGAGGGTCGAATCCTTGGAGCTGTGTGGCTCAAACCGGTTGAGTGGTTAGGAGGTTCAAGGTTTCCAGTGAGGGTACAATGAGAGCCTAGATAAGGTAGTTCTTTATCAATGGTACTTAGTGAGTGTACATTGGGTTCCTTGGGAATATTGGTGAGTGTATATTATCTTTTGCTGTAAAACCTGCAGAAGGCTGCCATGGGTCTAGGAGTCGTGAACATAAGTATTTTTTACATGAGCTATAGCCTACACTCCTTAAAGGGGGGTACATAGCGGATTATATAGGGGACTACTATACGGGGTATTAAGGGGGATACTAGGAAGTTAGATTATGGCTCATATGCGTTTGTTAAGTTTGTGCCGTTGACATTGTTTTTTGTTGGCACACTTCACCCCAAATTTAGGAGACCATGAAAAGATCCATGGGTCACATGATTGCCAATATTGTGGTCGTAGATGCCTTGCATAATCATGGCACAGGGGATCCCAAATAGGTTGCAAAATTATATTTCAATTACTTAGGCCCCTGGTTTGGGGCTCATTCACTCCTATTCTGTTTACAGGACCTTTATGACCAAGGACCCTGAATTCAGGAGATGAACCACATTCCTTTCCAGATGTTCCTGCAAGGGTGCATTTCAGTCCTACTTCTACCTGGTGCTGGGTAGGGAATAAGTGAATGGATCACACTGTCTGTGTATTGACCCTTAAAGGGTTCCTGTATCCCATGTTTGTATTCCCATGCTCGTTGAGCTTAGCCATCCAAAGCTGTTGCTGAAACAGGCATGGCATGTACAAAGCATCATTTATAGGGGGCCTGAAGCCCCTACCCCAAGGGTCCAGATACGTGAGAAGTGTACTTGGACCCAAAGTACCCTTAGCCTTAGAAGAGCCCATTTGGGCCCAAGTTCGTTACTGTTCAGGTACTTGGACCCTTAGGGCTAGAACAGAGCTGCGCAAAGAGCACGCAGCGACGTGAATAGTATCTGCTTGAAAGCCGAGCCCTAACAGATTGCATTCATCACAGTTACATACGTTGCCTAAACATGTAAGATGCAAGTAATTGTCAGACTTGGTGCCCCTGCCAAAAAAAAACTTACAGAGTGTATGGCGGCAACCTGGGTATCACTTCAAAACAAAAAGCCTTTTTGACGCCTGATTGCAGTCACGCTGTCCACAGGAGACCCCCATGAAAATAGTCTCCCGCATCATTTGCATCATCTGTGGATGCCAACAAAAGCAAGAACATTGTTGCCAACGGGTTTCTAATATGGTATAGCTTCATGTGTGGGCGTTTCTGCCACAACCACCCTGTTTCAATGGTGAAAAAGTACAACCGGAGCAGATGTTTGTGACTGATAGGTGGTGGAAAATCCTGCGCTGCCCGAAGTACTCAAATGCTAGAAGTAAGTTACAAATTGAGATGCCGTAGTTGGGGGAGACTTCCCCCCAAACATGCATGGACTTTGGATTTATTTCGTGAAATGGCGATTGGCTCAGCAGGTGAATGTGGCCTCTAGCAAAGCATATGCCTGAAATACGGTCATTTTGAGGCCTGAATAGTTAGCACTACTGTTGCCCTTGGGTTTGATGATCTCCTCACAGATGTTAAGCGAAAAAGTTATTTTGAGTCTTCATTGAACAGTGGAAGTGTTTGGAAACATCAGAAATTTCACAGATGGAGCCCCTAGGCATCAACTGAAACGAGAGAGTTGTCCACGTTTTCCAAATTTTATTGCCGTTGCACATGAGCACGGACTCGAAACCTTTCCTCTAATATAAAAGCTCAGTGTCCAATGCGGCTTAAATTCGGCAACAGGCCTTCTAAATGCTTGCGTTGCTGGCCGCGTAACAAGTACGGCTAAAACGGCAGAATTACCCCCAGATTGATAGGTAGAACCCATAAAAGCCGCAAGTTATTGAGGTTACAGGTATAGTCCCCCTTAAGTAGATAGAACACGGCTTTGGGTATAATTATAATAAGGTCCCCATATACCCCATATTCTATCGACTTAAGGGGGGCTATAAGTCTACTATCGCACGGGTCGCGCCATGGGCCGGGACTCACGAAGCCGCAGCGCTCGCCGTTACAGCAGAGGCTTTGACAATGACTGTAAGGTGTTGGGTTTAGGGTTTAGGTTTGAAGGTTTCGGGTTTAGGGCTTCGGGCTTAGGGTTTAAGCTTCGGGGTTTAGGGTTTAGAGTTTCAAGTTCCGGGCTTAGGGTTTATGAGCGTTTAAGGTTCATGGTTTAGGGTTGTTCAAGAGCTGTATGAGGAGGACAGTATACAGGGGGCATATAGATGTTTATCCAGATTCTGGAAGCTCTATAGGAATGCCACAAAATCATCGACAGGCTACAATCCATGCATTTAGATATTCGTATATGTTATTGATATATGTATGGACATATCTAGATATACTTACGTACGTATATATGAACCAGGTAGTCGGCGCACACCACCTCGGCGAACGCCGCCTCGGCGTTCACCGGCTCGGCGTTCGCCGCCTCGGCGCACGCCACCCCGGCGAACGCCACCGCGACGAAGCCCACCACGGTCTCGGGCCCCGTTTCAGTTTGCGGTTTGTAGTTCATAGCTTCGGGGCTGCTGAGGGAGTTCTACAAGTTCGGGCCCAGCTCGGATTCCCAAAATCAATAAGGATGTTGTTGAGGAGATAGATATAGGCCGTTGGAGGTCTGAATCGTTATGGATGGGGCTTCAGCACATAGTCAATGGATTCATTTGTGGAGTTCGCTCTTGGGCTGATGCCAGGTCTGGGTGATAAGGAGAGAATCACATGAACAGGTTTGGTGTCCGAGCTCGGACTTTAGGGACCCCGGAGGCATCTGTCTTCAGAGGTAAGGGAGGTGTGCCCAGTCCTTTATTCAGCAGGGCTGCAACAAGCTTCAGAGGTCAATCGGGAGCTTCGTGGGCTTCCCCCAGGAGTTTGAATTTCAATCTGTGCTTTGCAAGATGCCTCTCAAAAGAATCTCAAAGAAAGCTCATACCTAATGCGCTTTCACGAGCCCTGATTCGCTGTGCAGGGTTCCGTGATAATGTACACCGGGGCTAACAATGCAGGGGGGCCCCTCAAGTATTTGGGCCAAAACATTGTGCACATAAATTTGGGACGCTCAAGATTAACATGTTTAGGATTCCAGACGTAGCCCTCGGACCCTAAACCGTGGCAGTTCACATTTGAGGCGCCGGCGCAGTCCCAGCCCACCGCGGCGCCGGCGGTCTCCAAGCCCTCCCAGGAGACGATCGCCCAGCCCTCCGCGGAGGCGATCGCCCAGTCCGCCGTAGCCTCGGCGTGCTTTTGGGGAGGTATGTTTGATTTGCACCCTCACGCAAAACCAACCTGGAACCCCAAAAAGTGTCGGGATTGTCTTGTGCTTCAATATTGGGCTATATGGGTTCCATTCTGGCTTGAGGGCCCAACTTGGGGGAGGACCATTCATCTTAATCTTCAAGATAGAATTTGGCTAGGAGTCGCCTGAATAAGATCCTACAACTTGGCGACATGCGGAGGAGATTGGATCCGGGTATGTTGGGTGGGGCTCTCTCCGGAGGTGCAACTTGCAGTATAACCCCTATATAACCCTATAACTTTGTGTCCTGGTGCCAAGGCCAGCTGATCCTTACATCTTAAGCAAAAAGTTGTTCAACCCTGCACCCTGCAAAGCCGTAAGCCCCTAACTAGCCTGAACCCCAAACCTTAAACTTCTCAAACTTTCGGAAATTCACATCCCCAACCCCCCTGGAAAAAACAAGAAAAACATCTTTCTCTCACACACGCATGAGTGCGTGATATACACTAGACTGCTAGACCTAAATCCCAAGAAGCACTACCTCGCAGCCAAGTAGGTTGCCGCTCAGGGCTTGAGGAGCTTGATGGAACTTCTTTGCCATTATACACGGAGTCTGGGTTACAGAAGGCCCTTCCTACACATGTTGTGATAAGACTTTCCTTTCTCAGCTTCAGTCCTGTTCGTCCCTTTCATACCGAGGGGTCTTCGGAATCCTCGGATTCGGTACGACTGTAGCGGTCATCTTCCCTTAGCATTGATGATCTTCAAGAGTTCTAGCGAGGTAATAGTAATAGTAGCAACATTGAGAATACAATCCTTATATAATCCTTAATGTAATCTAGTAATTTCGCGTATTCCCCACCCTAAACCCTCAAGGCCCAGGCGGTCTCCGCGCAGGGAAGTGGAGCCTGAGCTGGAGGCGACAGCAACCACCCCCCTCTAACCTTTAAAAGGGATACATAGGGATGTACAGGATTCGAGGGGAGTATATGGGAGAACGGAATGAAAATGATCAGTACTATCTCATGTAGGGTTCGGAGCTAGTACGTTAATAATCTCCACATCCCCTTGATAATACACATTCCCCGGAGATGTAGTGGTACCATATTGGAGGGTCATTCTTAGGGGTGGGGGTGCTTGCTGTTTCGGGGAGCGGTCAGTTGATGACAACAAGAATGTTCAAGGGGTTCATACTTGGGGCGGGGGGTAACGTTATTCATATTGGTAGTAAGAAGGTTGGTCGTAAAAAGAAAGCATCCTCAGAATAGTAAACAGTTACCGCGATGGAGTTGATGGCAACAGTTTGGATTCCGGATGAGTTGGTAGCCAAACCCGAGCCAGTTCTCAGTCTGTCTGTCATAATACTGTTTTTTGATCATTGTTAAAGGAGTGCTGATTCGATCGTGATAGGCATTGAGTATGTACTCATTTCAGTAGTGAGAAAGACAGAACGCAGGTGCTTATGGTTTTGAGTGCCAAGGAAGGGAATGCTGGTGTTCAACATGCAAAAATCAGCACGATGTTGTTGTTGTTGTTGATGATGATGATGATGATGATGCACTGATAGTGATGACGATGGTGACG